ATCTCTGGAAGAGAGTAACCCTGTTGCTTTTCACAGCTGGTTGTTATCTGTTAATTGTCTGGGCTATGGTGCTGTAGGCTGGAGATCCCTGGTTATGGTTTAGACCCTGCTCTTCTCAGGGGAATCCAACTGGCCATTTCAATGTCCCTCTGGCACTGCTGCTTGTGGGCACCCTGCCTGCCTTCTCGAGTCTCTATCACACTTCTTACCAGTTAAGTTGTGCTAAAGCTGATTCTTCTGTCTGTCTGAGGTTATAAGGCTCCTCTCTCCCTATTGTTCAGTTGTTTGTTCCAGGTGATTTCGCCACAGTTTAGTTGTAATTCCAGATCAGTCCTGAGAGGAGGTCAGTGTGATTTCCATCGCTCCTCCACCATCTTGACTTCCTCAGTAACCATTTGGAATGCTTAAAAGAAAATAAAATAGTGTTTTTATGCTTTAAATTTTATTTATTTTTGTTGTTTAATTGCAGTTGTCCTCATTTTCCCCCATTACCCACTCCTGCACTACCCACCCCCTACCTCCCACATCAATACTTCCCCCCATTGTCTTTTTCCATGTGTCCTTTATGCATGTTCCTTGACTTGACCTTACTTTCAGGGATCATTTCTATAGTTTGTTATGTTTTAAATTTTAAAAGCACTTAATTAACTAAGTGTTAAATGTTTTAAAGCAATGCATTAACTAAATTTATAAATGTCACTTTTGTTTAAGAAGAATTTAGCCTACTCAACTTACATTAATCAAATATCAATTAACAATCACAAAATTACTTATTCTTAGTTTATACAGAAGTTATAACAAGATTTATAGGTGGAACTTAGCCTGGTTGTCAGTTTGTAATTTAACATACCAAATATTATTTTAAAACCACCCAAACAAATCATCATTGCTTTAACAAATAACCCCCCCAAAGAAAGAAATAAACTAATTTTGGTAGATATAAAAGTGTTTTTTGAATTAACAAAGTCTAGTAGCTGCCCCTAAAATACAGTGGCTTCGAGAAGCTCATCTTGAAACATCTAGAATAGTAAAGTGATATTAGTAGTTCTTGAGTGCTTCTTAGAAGTATCCAGCTCTATATTTTGAGAGTCTGAATCCTGGACCTTTTTTAAAAATACATGTTCAGTTTCATAGGCAAAACTGATATCCATAAGTAAGATGAACCCTGTTCTTTGCTCAGAGACACTCTGAGAGTAGTTGTTACTACAAGGACTTATGTAGACACTACTTCCTGGAAGAAAAACAGAAATATTCCACTGTTGCTGACCTCAGGTAGTAGTCATTGCTAACATGATTTTTTTTTATTTAAAAGAGCATTGCCATTTCATTAGCCCATGTTTTGAAAAAAAAGAAAAGAGCCCTGGCTGGTGTGGCTCAGTGGATTGAATGCCAGCTTGTGAACTACAGGGTGGCCTGTATGATTTCTAGTCTGGGTTGTGGACCAGGTCCTCCAGCTGGAGGCATGCAAGAGGCAATCACACATTGATGTTTCTCCCTCCCTTTCCCTCTCTCTAAAAATAAATAAATAATTTTTTTTAAATAAGAAAAGAAAAGAAACCCTGACATGTGACATCTGTAATGTTGGTACCTGGCCTTCTATATCATGATGTTTACAACTTGTTGATAAAAAGTCTTTGAGCGGAATTATCTTATACTGAGAATTATCCAGACTGAATTTTTTTAAAAATTTAAATACTCCCCTGTAGAAGAATCCCAGACAATGAAATTCCAGTAGATATTGAGATGTCATTAGATCTTTGCCTCTAATTAAGAGACGTCATATTTTAATGAATCAGAAAGGCAAAACAATTTTTGTTATTTGGCCAGTTCAATTAAATTTCCAAAATCATATCACTTTCTGTTATTTTTCTTCTTGACTGATATATAAAGACAACAGCTGAGGGGCAGAAATCATGATATTAGGGAAATGAGATTTGTTCTGGACTCAGAAACCTAGGGTTCATGATCTACTTCTGCCACATAGTCTTGGAGCTTTGTAAAGTCACTTAACTTGCTGGAACTTTAGTTTTTGCATCATCATTACCCGCCATTATACAAGAAAAGATTAATTCACCAAATAGATTTCTAGACACTGTACAATTTTGACCATTAATTTTGCTCATTTCTTCTTTTCTGTCAACTTTCCATCTCCAAGCGGTTCCAAAGCTTTTTCAGAACACATTACCAAGCCTCTGAACTTCCTTTTCTTGCCTACCTCTAGAAGCTGGTATCTGGACAAAAGTGTCCCTTCAGATAACACCACAAGAACATCATTAACTAATTTGTTCTTCATCCTTAATACACTAAAGGAAAAGTTTATTTTTACCTTTAATAATGATAGATCTTGAGTAGAAGATATGCAGGTGCTATTAACTCTTAGTTTTGTGGGGGCAAAGACTGCCTACGTCTTGTTCATTGTTGTAATGAGAAGCTTAGCAAATAACCTAATAAACAATAGTTATTCAAACAATTGTCGGGTTTACTGGTTGATCTAAAATACATTTATTTATTCAGAGACATCGAATCATACTCAATAATTAGTCTGTGTTTTACTGTTGATCAATGTCTTAGCTCATTAGGGTTGCTATAACAAAATACTATAAACTGAATAGCTCGTAAACAACAGAATTCATTCCTCACAGTTATGAAGGCTGAGAAGTCCAAAATTAAGGCACCAGAATATTTGGTGTCTAGTGAGGACCCGCTTCCTAAAGGTGCATATTTTTGCTATAACCATACATGGCTGAAGGGGCAAGGGAACTTCTTGACATCTTTTTATGAGAGCACTAATTCCATTATGAGGTCTCTATCTTAATGACATGACCTAACTACCGCTCAACAACCCCACCTCGTAATACCATTGCCTTGTGAGTTAAGATTTCAACAGAAGAATTTTGAGGGGAACACAAACATTCAGACTAGAAGCAATCAATATTTTACACTCAAAGCTACCACTTACTCAAACAGACTTGCACACTTATTTTCACTGGAGATGGTATAAAACAGTGAGTTACCATTGATTATGCCTGTCCTCAGCATCTGATGCTGAATGGTTGGTATGTTCAGATGATTTTGTGCACACAGCAATTCACATATTCCAATATGGCAAGTAGGAAAGTTGTAAGAGTGAAAATACATGGTAGACATTTCCTGAACATCTATGCTTGATTTTCTAACCTTGGCAAATTGGGATTAGGAGAAAACAAAAGTGAAGCAGATTTCATCTATGTTTTGAGATTTTTTTAATGTATAGTTTTTGTCCCTTGGTAAAAAGAAGATAAAAAGCAAGAAGAAAAAGTGGAGGAAGAGGAAAAGTAGAAGAAAAAGGAAAATTTAAGAGAAGAAAGAGAAAAAGAAAGAACAAAAGAAGGAAGAATAAAAATATCTAATGTTCAGAATTTAGTTTTACTTCAAAATCCTCATGTTAGTAATAATTTTCTACAGGTCAGTAAATCTCAGTCAAAATAACAGTGTCTTCAACCTGTCTTTCTCAGTAAGCTGAGGCAGTCAGGCCAACAGTGATCAGCGCTCCCTCCTACCCTTCCATCAATCTTTTGGATATGTCTAGAGAAAATAAGCCAACAACACAGGTTTAGCTCCCAACTCCCAGTGTAATGACCATGGAAGAGAGAGACCAATAAAAAGCTAGTTCTGCTCTGACAGCAATGGCTAGGAGAGATGCAATATAAATTCTGAGCTTGAGACACAAAGGGTATTAACTTGGTATTAACTCTCACATGCAAACTGTGGTTAAGAAAAGCATGATCACAATCTCCTCTGTAAGCCACCATTTTCTGGAAGAGAAACAAAACCTATCCAAATCTGAGAACTAGGAAATGAGATTTTGACAGCAAGGGCTGTTCCTATCTTTTTGTTTTTGTTTTCTCTTTATTTGTTTTTGTCCATTGACCCAATAAATGGGTTACTTTTCTAAGTGTCTGATGTTTAAGAAGCCTTGATTCAGGAAAACAATGAAAGTGGGTTTGGGAGGACTCAGCAGGCTTTAAATGATTGACACTGACAACCATATCACTACATGCCATTTGATAGTGATAGGAGAAAACACACCTCTGATCGAAGCACTGAGCAACTGAGCTAACAAGTAAACTAGAACTGCTTGGGACTGGGATGCTACGGTCACCATCTGCCCCACCACACCTGACTCACCAAACCAATGTTTTGTTTTCCTATCACCATCAAGCATTAGCCACAAAAATATTTTATCTCACTTTATAGGTGGAGAAAGTAAGGCATAAAGAGAGAAAATGGCTTCCCCCTCCCCAAGTTCACATAATAAAGATAATGGAGCCATGATAAGACCTCCTAGACTTCTGTATTACAGGGATTCTTTATGAGTTAGTACCTTTCATTACATCATTGCTTTTAACCTTAGGTTAAATATTAAGTAAGTTTAACATTAGGTGGGTTCTGAATATTCTTTCTTTCCCCATTTTTGTATTGTGGTAAAATATGCATCACATAAAATTTATCATTTTAACTATTTTAAAATTTACAGTTCAGTGGCATTATGTACACTCACATTGTTGTGCAGCCATTAGCACCATCTATTGCCAAAACTTTTTCTGTCTTCTCCAACTAAAACTCTGTGCCTCTTAAACGGTAACTTATTCTCTCCTTTCCCAGCTCCTGGTAATTACTTCTGAATGTTATTTTACTGCAAAAAGAATTGTTGACTTTGAGCTTGATTTACAACCAAGAAAATGTAATTAGATGTGCAAGGGAAAGGTAGGGGAGAGATGTAAATTCAGTACTGACTGTAAGTACATAGATGACTCCAGATGAGTGTGCTGTGTGTGTATGTCTTTAAAAAATTTTTCCTCCTCCCAGACCGCCCCCTCATAGTTCACCACTGGCTTTTGCAGTCTCCTCATTTCCTCAGTCCTTGGACAATCTCTGCTGCTTCAGGAGTTAGGAAGCCACAGTCTGAACTGAGGAGTGGAAAGGTAACATTTTGTTTGTAGTTTCAAAGATCTGATCAAAAGATAGACTGTTGCTCTTCTTCTGGAAAAGCCTGATTGGTAGGATTCCTCTAAACGCTCAGCCCCAAGTGCTTTATGCCATCCCCTCACTAACTTCAAAACTGCAGCTTGCCGAGAAACACCGGAGAAAAACCTGCTGGGTTCCATCATTTCATACAAATGGCCAGTTCTGGAGGTGGTGCTGTTTGCAACGGAAAACTACCCAATCACAAGAAGCAAAGTGACAACTCACAGAATGGAAACTGTACAAAGAATGGGATAGCGAAAGAAGCCCAGGTAAGAGGCAATTTCTCCCTGACTCCAAATGACCAGACCATTTCAATATTTCTTTTTAAAGCTGTTTGAAGCTGTCTTAGCTGAAAGTCCATCTTAAGAAGTGTTATGTGTTTAGACTCTTCATTTCAGCTAATTTCATAATGTTTGGCTACCAAACGGCTTAAGTGTGGGTTAATGAGAGAATTTCTTCTCTGTATAAGAGAGGTGAATATGTAGTCCCAAGAGCCTTTTAAACCCTAAAAATACAAACATACCTATTAGACTTTTATTGTCCCTCAAGCATTTCTGGAGACAGAATTGTGAAGCTTCAAACTTTTCAGCTAAATTTCAGTCCATCAGAAAATCATGACAGGCTACATTCATTATGCTTCATAAGAAAAAGAGGAAGTGGAAGTAAACTGAAAGTTGCCCAGAGTATGTGGTATGAATGGCATTTTCCCCTTTCCATGAGAAATACCTCTCTGGATAAAAGGTGAATTACTTTTGGTGTTTAGTGAAGCATTGTCATAGCTTGCAGTTTGATTTTCAGCCAGAGTCTTTCTTTGAAACTTGACATCATGGCCTTTCTTTTGAAGACACTTCAGAAAGTGTGGCTTATTGTTACATGCTGCACACAGGAATCAAACAATCTTTTATTTTATCATTTGATACAGTTTTTGGCTCCTGAAATGTTTGATGGGGCTATACTGAGGAGGAAGAGAAGGAACTCAATAAATATTGTTCACTTATTCAAAGAGGGAGCTGGGCAAGGCAGTTCCCCATTTTCCACATGATGCCCTAGCTCACTGCTCTGAGTAGCAGTGGTGAGCTCACCTGCTTCAGAAGCAAATTAGCATAACCAAACAGGTAGCTTCACTGTTGGGAAATGAGAAGCTGGGCAGGGCACTCTTGCAGTCCTCCACCACTCATCCTTCCTCAGAGAATCAGCATCTGCCCAGCCCAGGGGAAAGGTCAGATTGTTGTAAGATCACAGGACAGGTTGGGCTCGCTGGGAGCCAATCCACCTCTCAGTACATTAAATCTGTATATCGAGTTGGAAGAGATGAAGGGGCAATGAGGAGGGGGGCACTCTGGAGCATAGGCTGTATGTAAATAGGCTGTGGTCAACTCTTTAAAAAAGGCATTACCCTAGCCTTAAGAGTGTCTGCCGAAAATCTCAGGCCTGGACTCTCCCCGCTGAGTATTTGAAACTTAGTGCCGTGTAATGAGAAAACACTCAACCCTGTCATTTGTATGAGGGCAGTCATAATAATCTGTACTATTTGTCAATGTGTCAGTCCAGACTATCACCCAAGATACTCCTTGTCCCTGAAATGCCTGTGATGCTGGACACTTGCCTACTCACGTTCTGAAACATTCTGACCCTGAGGGCTCTCATTTGGGCTGAGATGCCCTCCAAGCCATCCCCTCTCTTTACTTATTTTGGATTTATAACCACTTTCTAGGGTCTGAGGTAGCTAGATGGCTGCCATTACAACCGTTCCTAAGTAAGAACAAAAGCCAGTATCCTAAAGGTTTGTTGCTAAGTGCTCCTTAAGTAAAGGTTCATTACTAAATAGCCTTTGACTTTGAGGCTTCCCTGAGAGCTACAGGAAATATCAAGGCTGTTGTTATCTTTTCTGACAAGATGCCTTCCTAAAGAGCCATCTAGAACCTATTGGCTCAGATAAATTTAAGTGTCACTAAGTTGGAATTGGCAACCACTGAGAGCCCCAATCACTGCTTAAAAATATTTTCCAGAAAAAATAAACCCTGCTGAGACCATAGTGTTGAAAGACAGACAAAGGCCTGCTTCCTTGCCATGATGTGGATGAATATGTCTTCACTATTATGATCCTCAGTTAGAGTTTTAGTACATTTTGCCAAGTGGCCCTTTAACAAACTTGGTCTTGATCAAAAACCTGTACAGTGGATAAGGAATCCATAAAGGCTTACCAATGTCCTGGGCCAGTAGTCTTCCAAGTATGTTCTGCCTGCCTAGAGTCCTATGAAGCAGCATCTAAAGTCCTTCCAGCTCCTCTGAAGATCCCCTAATTCTTCCTGTTTTTTTGCATCCACATGGCAATACATTTGTCTCCAGTATATATTGGGATACCCTGTAAGATTCTGTTAACACAGGGTTTTCTGGAATAAAGACATAACTTAAAAAAGCAGTGTTAGGCAGCCTCTCAGGAGCCCTCCTTTTCTTTGTCCCCATGCAGCCTTGCTTCCCTGCCCTGGCATTGGGGCTGAGGCCCACTTCCCCAGCCTTGACATTGGCAGAGGACCCAGATTCTGCTCTGGAAACCAAGAGTTCCTTTCTGGGCCTTTTTTGGAACTTGACTGTATTGCCTTTTCTTTTTCTCTTTAAACTTCGTATGACCTGAGAATGCTCTGATCATTGGTTTTCATCACTGATTAAAGCCATTTCTTTGATCACTTCTGATATGCTAACCTATCTCTTGCTCTTGAGGGAGAGAGCTGTTGTCAGAGAGGATTTGTTCTCACTCCTCTTGCGCATACCCACATAACAGACAGAAGGACCCTTAATGTCTTCACCCAAACTTGATAGTTTCTTTAATTTTCTATTCATTAACTTAATCTCCATATAATTGCTCTGCGACCCCCACTCAGTATTTTGGACCTGGTCATAAATTTTATTAGGAAAGCCTGAAGCTAGGAAGGTAGTCATTGTGTCTTTAATGCTCTTAATATTGCATTTCCTCAGAGGTATATTCATGGAATAGAGCCTGCATTTTCTTCTATGAAATAGATTCTAAGAGATGAAAGAAAACTGTTGAAATTTTTCCTAATCATTTCCTTTCATAGCAAACAAAAATGTCCTGGGGTTAGAATTATTCTAATTCAGTGTGTTCTTGGCCCTCAACATTGTAACATGACAAAACATCATATAGTGACCCCTAAATGGCAGCTGCTCATTCTATTGTTTATTCATTCAGTCACCAATATTTATTAAGAATCTATTATCCTTGGGACATGTAAAGATATATTAAAAAGTTTGTAATTTACCTATTGGCATGAAAATTATGACTGAAGCTAATCTTCCTGTTTTCCACACCTTACTATGTTCTCTTGAGACCCACAATATCCTGGTACAGCTGCTTTTCTGTTATGACATAAACTTCTTCTGGAGGTAAGAACCATGACTGACAGTTCATTTGTACACAGCAGAAACTGCTTGGCAGGTCCCTGTAAACATTAGTGTTTGCAGGGCTCATCTAGGCTGCACATTGATTTAAACAGAGGTTAGCAATCTGACCACGTATTAGGAGAATTCATGAACTAAATGCTTTGGAAATCCCATGTAATTACTCCAAATTTTCATTTCATTCTCATCTACAATCATCTCTAGTACATTTTGTTTTTTGGTTCTGATTTCCTAAAAAAAAAAAATCCCAATGTAACAAGTTTTTTCTGTGACCTCCCTGCTGAGCCCCCATTATTTTTATTGGATCATCATGGTAAAGCTTTCCTGTGTGTCAGGTACTGCAGGTATTAAGATGAAAATATTCAGTCCCCATTTATGCATAGTTCACAAGTGTGAAAGACTGACAAGTAAACAAGTAATTATAGTTTTTAATGGTAAGTTCTATAATAGATGTTGCAGTTATCTATTGCTATATAACAAGCACCATGAAACTCAATAGCTTAAAACAACTACTGTATTGTTCATGATTTTTGTGGGCCAGGAACTTGGGTAGGGCTTGTCCATGCTCCAACGTGGTATTTGACATGTATCCAAGAAGGACCCACTCACATGTCTGAGACCTTGATGCTAGTTGTCATGCAAGTTACCTTGTATCTCTTTTATAAAGATACCTTCTCCATGTGGTATCTTATTATCTGCAGAGTAACATAAGCTTTTTTACATGAAGGCTAGCTTCCAAAAGAGTGAAAATGGAAAATGCATATCCCCTTATTGGCATAGGCTTACTTTTGCTGTGTTCTGTCATCAAAGCTAGTCACAAGACCAGCCCAGATGCAAGGGTAGAGAAAATAGACTCTGCTGTTTTTTCAAGTTTTTTATTTTTGATTTTATAGAGAAAGGAGGGCCGGGAGAAAGAGAGGGAGAGAAACACTGATGTGGGAGAGAAACATCAACTGTTTGCCTTCTATACTTGCCCCGACTTGAGACTGAATCTGCAACCCAGGCATGTGCCCTGACCAGGAATCAAACCATCAACCTTTTGGTTTACAGGAAAATGCTCCACCAACAGCCATGCTACACAGGGCTAGATTCTGCTTCTTAATGAGGGTATCTGCAAAGTCACATAGCAAAAGATTGTGAGAGATTGGTGAAATTATTGTGACCATTTTGGGAAACAGCTCATCACAGCAGAGATATGTGGACCATGCTTGGGAGCATAGAGGAGAGGGCATTTGGCCCTGGCTAGGAAGACAAAGTCACTTTAGACAGAATGAATTTTGAACCAAGTCTTAAAAACAAAATAGCCACATACACAGTCATGGAAAAGCATCCTAACAGAGGGAAAAGCTCTTAGATAGATACAAAACATCAGAACATGACATGTTTGAGCATCGGAGGCTGGGTTAATGATATGAAGTTTAGGATGCTTAATAAAGAGGAACAGGTAATGGGACTGTAAAAGTAGGTGAGATAAGATTGTAAAATGCCTTTGTTTTATTTTATGATCCTCAATAAACAGGCCCAAAGATAAAGATTTTAATGCAAGAAATGTATTTGGAAGTTGAACCCAGGAATTAGGGTAATCATGAAGTGAGACACAGAAGGGAAGGAAGTCAACATAATCATGAATAGGTTACCACTATGGGAAATTGGGGCTCAGAATTTTTCAGATGTCTAGACAATGATATAGAGCATGCCTCAAAGTTGTCCAACTAAGGGCCAAGTAAAAGAGGCATATCGGGGGGACCCAAAACACTTGGAATTATCCTCTGGAGGGCAGGCATCTTGTAATAGAGGCTTCCCCTGTAGGTGAGTGTTCTAGGAACCCATCTGAATCAATAGTGTAATAGCT